CACTTAAAAACTACTTGCTTATGACATCAGACATAAAAATACAAAAGTGACACAGCGCACTATTACTTTCTCATTTTCATATAATTATTAAATAAATAAATAGGAATATAAATACTATATTTATAGTGTATAGTATATGGAGCAGCATAAACAAGTCTTGTATGAAATTTTAGTTTGTACTGATGTCACTAGTGCTTTTTATGTAGCCTGTTGTAAAACTAGGCAAATATCTAGATGAGTTGATGTACCCTCTGGAAGACCTCTGCTTACCCCTTACAGTGATAGACTCAAGGAGCTCAATCTATTTAATTTAACAAAGAGAAGGTTAAGGAGTGGCTTGATTACAGTCTATAAGTATCTACATGGGGAAGAAATAATGGTCTCTTCAGTGTAGCAGAGAATGGTATAACATGATTAAGGTTAAGATTTTATCACAGTTGTTTTTAGTAAAAGTTACAGACAGGTCATGGGCAATAAAAATTCACGGAAGCCTGCAACCTGTCTGTGACTTTTACTGAAAATAATGGCGAGGGTCTGACAGGAGGTGGAGAGCCTGAGCCCTACTGCAGGAGGCAGGGGCGTCCAGCACCTGTTGCAATGGTGGCGGCTGACAGCTCCGTAGGCCCTGCCACAGCCAGAGTGGCTCAGACCTCTGGGTGCCCCCATGGCGGTCAACAGCTCCAGGTGCCCATGGCAGCTAATGACTTCAGGGCCTCTTCTGCTTGCAGAGGCTGAGAGCTCCAGGGCCCCCACCTGCTGACAATAAATTATCTAGGTAGACCCTTTGGTCTCCTCTGGGATGACAAAAAGAAAAGGAGTACTTGTGGCACCTTAGAGACTAACCAATTTATTTGAGCATAAGCTTTCGTGAGCTACAGCTTACGAAATCTTATGCTCAAATAAATTGGTTAGTCTCTAAGGTGCCACAAGTACTCCTTTTCTTTTTGCAAATACAGACTAACACGGATGCTACTCTGAAATCTGGGATGACAGTTATGCTTCCATGGAAGTCTCTGTGCCCAGACCAGAGTAGCCTGATGCAGTAGGTTGGAGAGAGTCTGGGAAGCTTTTTATAAATACGAGTTTCCATGTGTTTCAGATTGCATATTGGTAGCAGGTATGCATGTCAGACTTAAAAATGGCAAGCACTACTAACATTTTAAACTAGGCTGTTTGAAAACAGTTTCTGCTTCATTTACAAGATAGCGCCTGGGATCGGATTCTGTATTTCTGCTCAGACTTTGACAAGGAAAGAAAAAGAGTAATATTTAAGCCTACACATGCACGAGGTCACTGTTTTGAAATCAGAAAATAAGTATCTAGTTACCAAGCCTTTCCCTTTAATTGGGATGTCTCTACATTACTTATTTAATGTGATTTGTGATTTAAGCATCTACCTAAGATTTTGCCAAATGACTCCAACCACCTCCTGCTCAGCCCTTTCCAAGAAAACAAGTGAGCCTTGCAATGCGCCCTGAATGTCAACAGGTTTCAGCTGATTTGGGCAAGGGTTATGCATGGGTCAATTTGCAGGTTCAAGGCCCTGCATGAAAAACACCTTGACCAAGCTATATGCTCTTTTAAACCACCTGTATCATAACTCAGGTACGTCTGATTGCAGCTGAAGCAGAGACCTGTGGGTGAGAAATGCCTGTTTTATGAGCAGTTGGCCTTAATGGAGACAGGATATGAACTGTCTGGTTACAGTGGAAGGCAGTGGGCTACAGGAGGAGCCCAGGGATTCCATTGAGAAGCTGTAAAAGTGGCAAAGAGTCCTGTGGCACCTTATAGACTAACAGACATATTGGAGCATAAGCTTTCATGGGTGAATACCCACTTCATCAGATGCATGTATTCACCCACAAAAGCTTATGCTCCAATACATCTGTTAGTCTGTAAGGTGCCACCGGACTCTTTGCCATGTTTACAGATCCAGACTAACACAGATACATTTAGAAGCTGGATATTGTCTGTGCAATGATGCTTGTTATTTCCCACCTGCTAAGGGAAGGCTAAACACATGGTCATCTAAAATCAATATGTATTGTCTCTTTCATTCAAAAGAGGGTGTGGGATTGTTCTGAGTGAGTTTCCATAAATATCTCAGAAGTGTCTGAGGCTAATGTGATGTTGGCAGGGTCAATCTCCTAATGCCATTAGAACCAGTTTTAGTACATTCACAATGCCTGCTTTAATGAAGGCTTCCCTCTTTCCTTTGTTTTCTTCTTCTTTGTAGGATGAGTGGCTGAGTGTTGTTTTGGGTTTCTAGTTTCATGAGGTTGTGGGGCAAGGTGAGGCTCATTCAATTTAGCCTCACCTCAGTGATTTTGGTATCAAAATAGGAATGTAATACAGTGTCTTCTATGCAGAGTCCCTCAAACCCAGAAAAGGATGTTCCGCTTGCATTAGAACTACTTATATTATGGAACCATATCAGTACAAAACTGGCAAACAGAACTAATATTTTCAAATCTTTAGTGATGTTTGTAAGTCTCCATTCCTGATTTCTAGACATTGTTTTAAATGTCTTGGAATATTTTTACTCCTACAATACGATATTTTATGTACAACTACTATGTTTTCACTTAGCAAATTAACTGAATAGCCCATATATCAGCATTAAGAAGTTTACCCTTTCCAAAATTCTGTATTTGTATTCCATGCTTCTGATTGCAACCCAAATTAATTTATGAATTTTTAAAATTTTAAATCAAGGATTTTTCCTGGCAGAAAAGGCATCCTTCCTGAACATCTGCCACCCTGTAGAATGTGAAAGCTACAGGTGCCTTTCTTTTCCTAACCTCGAGAACCATTTGTCAGTTACTTTAAGAGCCTTCTTAAACTGGTATTTTTAAATAAAGAAAAACCAGCTTCCTGCAGTGTGCACTTGGATTGGCATAGAAGAGCAAAGGTACTCAGATATTATAGTGATGGGCACCATCTAAGTACCTATATCAATGGTTTAACTTTTCCTGTTTACAATGAATTGTAATGGATGTGCCAAGCCCCATCCTGTGCAAATTAGAAGTGTGGTGCTCTCATAAATTCTAACAGCTATGCCTCCAGAACTTGTCAGGATTTTATAAAACAACAATACACATATGTGATACCTCTTTATTTAACAGTATATTCAGATCTCTACACCATATACAAGACGTCAAGAGAAATGTTCCATTTCCCAGTACCTATAGATGAAATATTATGCCACGCACAAATCAAGGTTTGAATAACTAACTTTCAGGCTACTGAAGATGAAAAATGACCCTGCAAAAGGAATTGTAGCAAAAACAAACAAACAGACACAAAGTATTTTAAAAACTCCCCAAAATGCAAGAAACACAAGTACTAAGAAAGCAGGAGAGAGATCTTGTGGCAGAATTTTACTAGAAAACATGTTTAATTATTTTAAATTCTTATTGTATCAAAAGTTGAATTAATTCTTATTGTATCAAAAATTGAATTAAATTAGCCTTTCATATGTCTTAGCAAACCAGAATTCATTTTTAAGATCGTTTAACTAGAAAACTGTAACTTCGCTACATCTTTGATTTCTTTCTCAAAGGAAAAATTGGTTAACTAATACTAACACATTAGGTATTTCTGTCATGCTTTTGATGTGCATGTTACTTTGCAGACAGCCTAGTTCTATGCCCGAAAGAGCTTGTATTCTAAGTTAAACAACGACATATCAAGGAAGAGGATTTTTTTTTTTAATGCCATCATAGTTTATCTCCAAACATACTGTCGCCTCTTGGCCTGAGTAGTTAGCAGTATGGGGGGTCTTGCCAAGTTGTTTCTATTAGGAAGAGAAATTGATGGTAGAAGTCAGATATTTCTTTGATGCAAAGAATGTACAAAGTTCTCTTTCTGTGTACACTACAGGAACAAACAGCAGCAGACCAGTTTCCTTGCTCATAAATTCAAGCCTGCCTTTCCATCCAGTTTTGTGCCCCAAGGAATTCTGTCTCTGTTTCCTCTGAGGGCCATGCTCATGCCTGTTTCTCTGGCTTTCTTCTGGCTTTCTGGTTGCTTTGTGTCTTTTCCACTCATGCAAACACAGCTGCAACCAATCAGCGCCCCCTGCCTTTGCAATCAGTCCCCAAGGAAACTCCTCATTTGCCTTGACAGGTTTCAGAGGAACAGCCCTGTTAGTCTGTATTCGCAAAAAGAAAAGGAGTACTTGTAGCACCTTAGAGACTAACCAATTTATTTGAGCATGAGCTTTCGTGAGCTACAGCTCACTTCATCAGATGTATACCGTGGAAACTGCAGCAGACTTTATATATACACAGAGAATATGAAACAATACCTCCTCCCACCCCACTGTCCTGCTGGTAATAGCTTATCTAAAGTGATCATCAGGTGGGCCATTACCAGCAGGACAGTGGGGTGGGAGGAGGTATTGTTTCATATTCTCTGTGTATATATAAAGTCTGCTGCAGTTTCCACGGTATACATCTGATGAAGTGAGCTGTAGCTCACGAAAGCTCATGCTCAAATAAATTGGTTAGTCTCTAAGGTGCTACAAGTACTCCTTTCCATTTGCCTTGAGTTCTGGCTAAAGCCTTCCCACGTGGCCCAGTGCCTTGGACAGTGGTTTCAGCAATCTTACTCTGTAAAGGAGCTTAATTGCATTTCCATTTAGCCTGAATGAAGGATGGCTAGCATGCCTATCAGCTTTAATGATGTCTGTGATTGTATGTAGATCAGGCAGGCTTGTTTGCAGCCATTAACATCTTCAAGCATAACAATACAGTATATAATAATTAATCTCTCTACAAAATATTTGTAAATATTATTGCATTGTTTATTACAGGCTGTTTATCCTGCAAATGAGACTCTGTTCTCAGTGTACCACTATTTTCTCTACCTTGACTTCCCTGTAGTTGTCTGTTTTAATCGCTGAGATTGCATGTGGTTTTTTGGTGCTAATTATCCCCATAAGATGGAAATGAAGAATCCAGTGAAAAGTAGATGATAAAGTGCAATTTTCTTTTCAGAAAAGCCATGTCAAGTGGAGCAACTAGACCGAATCCTTCTGTCTGGGGTCTATAATGTGCGCAAAGGGAAGACGCAGTTGCACAAGTGGGCAGAACGCTTGGTCATTCTCTGTGGCACCTGCCTCATCGTATCCTCAGTGAAGGATTGCCATACAGGAAAGATGCACATTCTGCCTCTTGTCGGAGGGAAGGTGAGGCTCTTGGGCCTAACTGGTTCTTTGTTAGTTTCCTGTAGGTAAGATGTGAGAATGAAGGGGCCAACAGGATTTATAAGTCAGTCTAGGCCTCTTTAGTGAGTTTCTGTGTTAAGATGTTTGAATACATCTGCCTGACTCCTCTCTGCTTATTTACTAGGCAATCTTTAGTTTAATAAAACAGTGAAAGGAATGCAGGTTCTTTGCTTCGGCCAAAAATTACATGATACTTTTACGTGTATTGGTTCTGTCCAGCAATTTACCACAACCCAGAAGTAATTACTTATTGGGTGTGTTCCATAAGTGCTGGAACTATGGGTTTTGGGTGTGCTACTACACTCCCTGGCTTGAAGTAGTAATAACAGACGAAATACCTGGTTTCTACGTTCAGCACCCCTACTGTAAAAATTGTTCCAGCACCACTGGTCTGTTTCAACGGAGGGGTTCTGAAACGGAGTTTTTGCTGTATATCAGCCAGAGGGGACTAACTTGACTGTACTTTGTGGAGTGTCTTATATTGGTTTTGTGTAACATCCCCACTCCCTGCATTTCAGATTGTGTAATTGCTAGAATTTAGACTGGGCTATTTTTGTTCTTATTTCTCCCATTTCAGGTGGAAGAAGTGAAGCGTCGGCAGCACTCACTTGCTTTCAGCTCTGCTGGTGCACAGGCTCAAACCTACCATGTTTGCTTTGAAACGCTGGCAGAGTACCAGAGATGGCACCGGCAGGCATCCACGGTGAGGCCCAATAATCTGTAGGTGTGGGTGCTCTGATACAGGGCAAGAGGAAAATTTTGGAGAATTTTGGAACAGGCTTACTCTTGAGACACAGCTTCTAACTCGAGTTCTTAGAGAGTACCAAGATCACCTGTGGGCTTCCTTTGAACTATGACATCTGTGGGGTGGAGGCTACTTAGCCACTGCATGTCTCTCTGATCTGCTGGATGCTTCATTTCAGCATTCCACCAGGCTGCAGCAGCTATGCAGCAGTTATGAGCTGTAGTTCTGCGCTATCCCACACTGATAGCACTATTGATATTAACCAAGCATCTGAAGTTTATTGCAGTATTCAAAACTAATCCCAGAGACAAACTTCTCTTTCTTCCCAGCTACAGCAGTCTATAAGTCCTTCCTACTGCCTTGGCTGCATCCACCTGAACAACATTTTTGTTTAACCAAAAGCCAAGAGTTTACCAGGATTCAACAAAGAGTAGATGTTATACAGGTAGTAAGGACGTCCACAGTCACATTAGATAGGATTAAAAAATAGGATGTAAATCATCAAGCTTCAGTACATGAACCAGTCTTTAACTGCCAGGTGATGTTTCTCTTAAAGGGTTTCTTGCATCTTCATCTGAAACGTATTGTCCACTGTCAAAGATAGGATTCTGGACTAGATGGAGCACTGGTCTGATTCACTATGATGATTCCTGTGTACTACATAGCATGTTTATTGGTGATTGGTGGACTGTGCTAACTCAGGACTTAGATAGTAACAGCTTCTGATGTGAAATACAGGTTAAGAGAGAATGTCTTATATTTGCTTTGGCTGTATAAAATATCCCATTTCTCCATGCTAGATTTTCTGTGTGTTTGGCTTGCATTTGTTGTTTTTTGCATTGATTGGTCTGAATGCTAACAAAGGCTTCTTGTGTAAAGTGTATGGCTTCCACCATATATGCCAATGTATACATGTTTTCACTACTAAAGACTTTGCTCTTATCTAGTATAATAATTTGTGAAAATAATGCAGAAACTGCAGCTGATACAGAGTGCAGCTGTCTGCCTCTTCCATTGGCTTCCAGTTTGCTTCCACTGCCAGTTTAAGGCAGAGGTTGCAATTGTCAAAGCAGTTAACAGATCGTTCCCCAGTGTAGTAGGGGCTTGTCGGCACTGGACCTATCTGCTGCCTCAGTTTAGCTCCTTTCTCTCTCTCCCTCTAGTCAAACCACCTTAGTTGGTGCTTTTAAATTACTCTCGCCTTATGGGGTCTGGTTTACTCTCAAAATAACAGTTAGCCCACCCTGCTTTTCCAGGTTCACCAGTTCCTTTTAGACTTTTCCAGTGCTCAATAGTCCTTCCAGTTATTTACCAGGGTTTTGCCCTCTTTCCAGAGCTTCCTGGTCCTTTATAATCCTGTCCCAGCTGAGATTTTCTTCCAGCAAATCTCTCAGCTGAGGTTTTTTTCATAGTTACAGAATCCAAGGCTAGAAGGGAGCACTGAGATCATCTAGTCTGGCCACCACCTTCCCAGCAGGCTTCTCCTCCCTGCAGGTTCTTTTCCCTCTGCCTGGGAACTGTGGAAAATTGTTTCTATCCCGATTTCATTGGAGTCTTCCTAACAGAACACAAGCTGCCCTTATATCTCTCAGCATGCCCTTTTACATAGCCACATGACCTTCCTATTCCCTCAGACCCCTCACTTGAAAAGCAATTCTGTGAAAGGGGGCCAGTCTTGGAATGAGTGCATGTGCATCCCAGGACCAGTGCCTTGTTATACCCAGCTGCATAAGAGACCAAATATCAATCTTTGAACTGCCAAGAGAGTTTTGCTCCTGTGGGACAGTGCAGATCACAAAGCCCAAAGCGAAGCACATGAGTGCTGGGGACAAAGTACTCTGAGTCAAAGGGATATGGCTGCAGAATGAACTTCCAAAGGAGACTGGTTGTTTGCAGGGTCTGAGCACCTCTAGGAAATATTGCAAAACCTTATTCATTGATAGTACCTTTCCAGCATAAAAAGAATGACATTCACAACACTCCAAAAACAAGCAAACAAAAGAACATAAGGACGGCCATATTGGGTCATCTAGCCCAGTATCTTGTCTTCTGACAGTGGCCAATGCCAGGTGCTTCAGAGGGAATGAACAGAACACGATAATCAAGTGATCCATCCCCTGTGGCCCATTCCCAGCTTCTGGCAAACAGAGGCTAAGGACATCATCCCTGCCCGTCTTGGCTAATAGTCCTTGATGGATCTATCCTCCATGAACTTGTCTAGTTCTTTTTGAACCCTCTTATAATCTTGGCCTTCGCAACATCCTCTGGCAAAGAAACCCTACTGGGTACTCACTGGTTCCATTCTGTCTGATCTTGAAGGTGCTCAGATATTATGCTGACAGGCAGCGGCACTAAAGCCTAAGATAAGTTAGATATTTGTCTCACCCTGGATTTCCCCTGCAGTTTAAGTTGGCTGGTATTCTGAATCAAAAAATGTATACAAGTCAGAGCAGTCCCTTTCCTGTGCCCTTTTCCATGCTTGTGTATGTGCCTGCCAACAGGAATGTACAGTAGCAACATACAGGCCTGGGATCAAATCCTAAACACTGTATGAAAACCTGCCCCGGGTGGGCTGAATTTGCCTCTGATAGATATCTGAGGGGTTTCATTTTCTTGTGCTTTGTTAGCACTTGTCTCGCATGTCCTGCCAATAAACTTTCATTGAATTGAACTGGAAAGAAAATTGTAAATGTAGCTGTAACTCTGTTGCCCTTTTCTTTTTTTTAGGTGGTGTCTCAGCGACTCAGCACAGTTGATCTGTCTTGTTATAGCCTTGAGGAGGTACCTGAGCATCTCTTCTACAGTCAAGACATCACCTACCTCAACCTGCGACACAACTTTATGCGACTGGATGGATCAGGGGGTCTTGACTCTCTTTGCAGGTCTGCAGAGAACTATTTTCTGTTACATTTTGGGGTACGGGAATATACAGTCAGGCAAGGAGGCAGGAATATACTGAGGGTCCATGGTCCTTGTGGAAAGTTGGCATACTGGTAAGAGATTGGTCTTTGGTGGGTATCTGGCAACCTCAAGGTGATGAAGACTAGGAAATATAATTTTTGTCTTCATTCACTGTTCAACTTCCAGCAATTTACAGTATGTACAAGCTGTCCTTCCACATGTTCCTTTCATTTTAAGGATGATTGTGCTGAACCTTGTGTGGTGATATGCTATTACATAGAGAAGATATGGTGGTGATTATAATGCCATTTACTAAACAGTCTGGCAGCATTGTTAGATATAAGAACAAATGCTGAGGGAGAATATGAGTAAAAGCTTGTACTAAGGAATGCAAGTATAAAAGAAGCCTGTTTTAATTAGTCTTTAATGCTGTCGCAAATTCAGAATTGGCAGTGTCTGCAAGACTCCATCTTTACACTGGGAACTTGTAATTATCCATTTACTGGGTAGTGGGAGATGCATGATGGATTGTATGCTAGGTACAACTAGCTCCAATAAGTAGGAGAGTGTAGGGACCCAATTAGACCTAAAAATAAGAGAAATTAAAAAACAAATCCCAAAATAAATCAGACTCCGTTGTAAAGGATGGAGCGGGGCAGTCTTTCTTCCTGCAGGTCTCTGCATTCTTTTACTTGCTAACAGGGGGTTCTGGCAGTCACTTTGTGAAATATTGAAAGCCAACTGGTGTCCGACAGCAATATAATCAAATAGCTGTGTTCTTCTTCGAGTGCTTGCTCATATCGAATCCCATTAGGTGTGAGCGCACCGCATGCACGATTGTCGGAGAAATTTTTACCGTAGCAACACCCAGTGGGTTGTCTGTGGAGCCCCCTGGAGTGGTGCCTCTTTGGCGCTGGATATATACCCAAGCTGACCCAGCGCCCCCTCAGTTCCTTCTTACCGCCCGTTACGGTCGTTGGAACTGTGGAGCGCGACTTTGTTGTTCTCCACTTTCCCTAACATTCTCTTTTTCCCGTTATACATTATAGTTATTCCTTCCCTGGATCCTGGAGACTGGTTTGCCGCCCTCGACATGAAGGACGTGTACTTCCACATAAAGAAAAGGAGTACTTGTGGCACCTTAGAGACTATCAAATTTATATGAGCATGCTCAAATAAATTTGTTAGTCTCTAAGGTGCCACAAGTACTCCTTTTCTTTTTGCGAATACAGACTAACATGGCTGCTACTCTGAATACTTCCGCATAGTGATTCATCCAGTGCACAGACGTTTCCTACACTTTGTGATCAACCGCAAACACTGTCAGTTCACAGTCCTTCCTTTTGGCCTTTCCACGGCCCCCAGAATATTCACCAAATGTATGGCTGTCTTGGCAGCCTCCCTTCATCGGCAGCAGATCCAAGTATTTCCGTATCTCAACGATTGGCTTATCCGGGGTTGCACCAGGAGACAAGTGCAGGCCCACATTCAAGTTACCATAGCCATGTTTCGTCAGCTGGGCCTCCTGCTCAACGTCTGAAAGTCGACCCTGGAGCCAAGCCAAAGAATAGAGTTCATCAGGGCAATCTTAGATTCCAGACTGGCCCAAGCTCTCCTACCGGATGTCCGCTTCTAGTCATTGGCGAACCTCATCCGCAGCCTTCAAAGTTTTCCAACCTCAACAGTGAAAACGTGCCTGAGCCTTCTGGGGCGCACAGCCTCTTGCACATACGTGACTGGGCATGCCAGACTGCGGCTCCGCCCACTTCAGGCCTGCTGTCAACAGTATATCGTCCAGTTCGGGACAGCTTAAGTATGGTGGTCACTGTCCGAGAAATGGTCCTAACCTCTCTCCGCTGGTGGTTGGATCCCAGGACAGTTTGCGAAGGGGTCCCATTTCATGGCCTTGACCATCCTTGTCCCTGGTCACAGATGCTTCATCCCTAGGATGGGGCGCCCACCTCAAGGACCTCCAAACACAGGGTGCAGTTGAGCTATCTCTACACATCAATGTGTACGAGAACTGATGGCGGTGCGCCTGGCGTCTACATGGATGTTGTGTGGCGGTCCTCACAGACAACACCACGGCCATGTTCTACATCAACAAGCAAGGGGGAGCCCGGTTGTCCCCCCTCTGTTGGGAAGCCATTCACCTGTGGCAGTTCTATATATTCCTCTATCCCTCTGGTGGTGTCCTTTCTCCCAGGGATCCAGAACACACTGGCAGATGGCCTCAGCAGGTCCTTCTAGTCTCACGAGTGTTCAATTCGTCTGGATGTCATCCACTCCATCATCTGAGGTGGGGGTTTCCCCAGGTCGACCTGTTCGCCTCATTCAGCAATCAGAAGTGCCAGATGTTTTGTTCTCTCCAGGGAAGTTCCCCAGGTTTGCTGTCAGACGCCTTCCTGATCCTGTGGAAGGACCAGCTGTTCTACGCCTTCCCTCTGTTCCCACTAGTCCACAAGGTCCTGCTCAAGTTACGTAGGGACAGCGTGTGTCTGATTCTAGTCTCCCCAGCGTGGCCCAGGCAACACTGGTACACCACGCTGCTGAAGTTATCGGTAGATGCTCCGATCCCACTCCCGCTTTGGCCGGACCTGATCTCACAAGACCACGGCCGCCTCTGTCACCCCAACCTCTGCTAGGCAGAGACGGGCGCCACCTAACGAAGAGAGGGAAGAGCATCTTCGCAAGCAGGCTGGCTAACCTAGTGAGGAGGGCTTTAAACTAGGTTCACCGGGGGAAGAAGACCAAAGCTCTGAGGTAAGTGGGGAAGTGGGATACTGGGAGGAAGCACGAGCAGGAGCGCGCGAGAGGGCAGGGGTCCTGCCTCATACTGAGAAAGAGGGACGATCAGCGAGTTATCTCAAGTGCCTATACACGAATGCAAGAAGCCTGGGAAACAAGCAGGGAGAACTGGAAGTCCTGGCACAGTCAAGGAATTATGATGTGATTGGAATAACAGAGACTTGGTGGGATAACTCAAATGACTGGAGTACTGTCATGGATGGATATAAACTGTTCAGGAAGGACAGGCAGGGCAGAAAAGGCGGGGGAGTTGCACTGTATGTAAGGGAACAGTATGACTGCTCAGAGCTCAAGTATGAAACTGCAGAAAAATCTGAGTGTCTCTGGATTAAGTTTAGAAGTGTGAGCAACAAGGGTGATGTCGTGGTGGAAGTCTGCTATAGACCACCGGACCAGGGGGATGAGGTGGACGAGGCTTTCTTCTGGCAACTCACGGAAGTTACTAGATCGTAGGCCTTGGTTCTCATGGGTGACTTTAATTTTCCTGATATCTGCTGGGAGAGCAATACAGCGGTGCACAGACAGTCCAGGAAGTTTTTGGAAAGTGTAGGGGACAATTTCCTGGTGCAAGTGCTGGAAGAACCAACTAGGGGCAGAGCTCTTCTTGACCTGCTGCTCACAAACTGGGAAGAATTAGTAGGGGAAGCAAAAGTGGATGGGAACCTGGGAGGCAGTGACCATGAGATGGTTGAGTTCAGGATCCTGACACAGGGAAGAAAGGAGAGCAGCAGAATACGGACCCTGGACTTCAGAAAAGCAGACTTTGACTCCCCCAGGGAACTGATGGGCAGGATCCCCTGGGAGAATAACATGATGGGGAAAGGAGTCCAGGAGAGCTTGCTGTATTTTAAAGAATCCTTATTGAGGTTACAGAGGCAAACCATCCTGATGTGTTGAAAGAATAGTAAATATGGCAGGTGACCAGCTTGGCTTAACAGTGAAATCCTTGCTGATCTTGAACACAAATAAGAAGCTTACAAGAAGTGGAAGATTGGACAAATGACCAGGGATGACAATAAAAATATTGCTCGGGCATGCAGGAGTGATATCAGGAAGGCCAAATCACACCTGGAGTTGCAGCTAGCAAGAGATGTTAAGAGTAACAAGAAGGGTTTCTTCAGGTATGTTAGCAACAAGAAGAAAGTCAAGGAAAGTGTGGGCCCCTTACTGAATGAGGGAGGCAACCTAGTGACAGAGGATGTGGAAAAAGCTAATGTACTCAGTGCTTTTTTTGCCTCTGTCTTCACGAACAAGGTCAGCTCCCAGACTGTTGCACTGGACAGCACAGCATGGGGAGGAGGTGACCAGCCCTCTGTGGAGAAAGAAGTGGTTCGGGACTATTTAGAAAAGCTGGACGAGCTCAAGTCCATGGGGCTGGATGCGCTGCATCCGAGAGTGCTAAAGGAGTTGGCGGATGTGATTGCAGAGCCATTGGCCATTATCTTTGAAAACTCATGGCGATCGGGGGAGGTCCCGGACGACTGAAAAAAGGCTAATGTAGTGCCCATCTTTAAAAAAGGGAAGAAGGAGGATCCTGGGAACTACAGGCCAGTCAGCCTCACCTCAGTCCCTGGAAAAATCATGGAGCAGGTCCTCAAAGAATCAATTCTGAAGCACTTAGAGGAGAGGAAAGTGATCAGGAACAGTCAGCATGGATTCACCAAGGGTAAGTCATGCCTGACTAATCTAATTGCCTTCTATGACGAGATAACTGGCTCTGTGGATGAGGGGAAAGCGGGGGACGTGTTGTTGCTTGACTTTAGCCAAGCTTTTGACACAGTCTCCCACAGTATTCTTGCCAGCAAGTTAAAGAAGTATGGGCTGGATGAATGGACTATAAGGTGGATAGAAAGTTGGCTGGATTGTCGGGCTCAACGGGTAGTGATCAATGGCTCCATGTCTAGTTGGCAGCCGGTATCAAGTGGAGTGCCCCAAGGGTCGGTCCTGGGGCTGGTTTTGTTCAATATCTTCATAAATGATCTGGAGGATGGTGTGGATTGCACCCGCAGAAGTTTGCAGATGACACTAAACTGGGAGGAGAGGTAGATACGCTGGAGGGTAGGGATAGGATTCAGAGGGACCTAGACAAATTAGAGGATTGGGCCAAAGGAAATCTGATGAGGTTCAACAAGGACAAGTGCAGAGTCCTGCACTTAGGATGGAAGAATCCCAT